ATGTGGCAGATGGGAATGACCGGGGTAATGAAGACGTCTATAATTGTGAAGCGAACTTGCGAAATTGGCTTGACAATCGGTGCGCAACGGAGATTAGTCATGTTTGTTGCAATACTTCTTTTTTGATACTAGCTGAACACTTACAACGTTTTCTGTTTTGTTTTCTGAGGAATGTTTTAGTTACGCCTTGCTGTAGCTGCCGAATTTGTAGAGCGATTGCGTGCCAGGATACTTGAACGCACACAGTTCCACTGTTCGGGAGGAATCGGAACAAACAAGGTGACTAATTTTTGAAAAGTTCCAAGTATCTCGAAGGAAAACCCGCTTCAGATGTTAGCCAAACTGATTTGTGCTCGACATAAGCCTCGAAGTCAAACTATCATTCCGTTTGATTACGTGCCAGTCATCTTCAGCCAAACACCAGTTGGTGATGTACGTATGTTGGGAGGGAAGTTGGGTCAAACAATACAAAACTTACTGCGAGTAAAGGTAGAACTTCTTTTCATTTCACTCATTTCTGAATTTCTCCTCCTTCCACAGACTATGGGAGACCTGGCTGCGGTAGCTTTTAACTTTATTGAAAAGCATTTTGGAAAGAAAGCACAGTGGATTTGCCAGCTGGCAAAAGGAATTGACGATGAGCCTGTAATTCTCAATGATGCTCTCAAGGCAAAATCGAACTGAACTCATTTTCAGGTAAAACGGCGAGACAACCAGCTCTCCATTGGTGTTAGCAAGAGTTTTGTGGGCAACAATGCGCTGACCACGGTTGTTGAAGTGCGCAGGTATAAGGTTTCAGCTTGATCTCGCTTTTACTAATCATTGTCCAGTTTTTTTTCCACTGGTTACCTTCCCTTTCCTTTGTTTCACCTTGCAGTCTTTTTCTGCATCAGAGCAACTTTCAGGTCTATTGATGAGTTATGCAAAGAGTTATGTGAAAGGCTTGTAGCTGACCAAGTTAAGGTAAGTCAGATTAGTGTTATCTATGAAACACTTTGTTTATTGTTTCCAGAACAAAAGAACTGCAGAAAACGTAATTTTTGGTATAATCAATGATTCAAGTGTACATTCGTCAAAGACAATAAAAATCACATCCTACAATCCGCAAGCGGTCGCAGATGCTGTATGGAGAGCAGCCAAAACTTTCAACAAAGCTTCTGTTGGAAGCGACCAATGGTAAGTTTGTTCGATCTGCTTTATATGTAGCCGTTGCTTCTTATTTTTT